GAACGCGATTGCGAACGGGCCGAGGGGGGCCCCGCTCCCAACCTCGCACTGGGCCCCGCGTCAGCTAAGGACGGCCCTGGGTATATATATGTAAAATATTACCACAATTTAAAAAAAAAAGTTTTCTATTATAATGTATTTGAAATGTCATTTATTCCTGTGATGCAAAGCTGAATTTTCAGCATCATTACGCCAGTCTTCAGTGTCACATGATCTTTCAGAAATCGTTCTAATATGCTGATTTGCTGCTCAAGAAATATTTCTTATTATTATCAACGTTGAAAACAGTGCTGGTTCATGTTTTGTAGAATCTGTGATACATTTTTTTGTTCAGAATTCTGTGATGAATAGAAATTTCAAAAGAACAGCATTTATTTGAAACAGAAACATTTTGTAACATTATAACTGATGATCACTTCCTTGCTAAATCAAAGTATTAATTTCTTTAAAAAAATCTTTACTAACAACCTTTATAGCAGTGTTAATGTCCTGCAGGGCTGCAAACATGTTGCCCATCTGTAGGCTGGTGACAGCTCTGCCTTCATACGCCGCCCAGCATTTAGGGTTCACCTCTACAGCCACAGTGAACTGATTCCAGGCTCTCTGGAAGAATCCCAAAACCTGCCGTAGAGGACAAGATATCAACATGGATTAGTGGAAATCAATAGACTTGAGAGGCAACAGGCTGTCTGCAAGATACGGTTCCCTCTCTGGGGGAAGAGACAGAGATAATAAGGGCCAGGATGAATACCAAAAGCAATCAGATACATCCTTGTTTGTTTCCTACTGTTGACCTGATTTCTGTGGTTTGTCTTAAAGAGACGAAAGATACCAGACAGACAAACAAAAGTCTTGAATAGAGGAGAATGTAGAAATTAAGATTACCAAGGTTAACAAGGTTAAGATTGACCAAGCATAAATTATTTATCATGTATAATTTCTTGTTATCTACATTTCAAGCATTTAAAGAGACCACTCAAATTTTTGTAATGCAAAATATTTTAGTCGTTCTGTAATTGAGGAATTCTACAATAACTAATGGTGTTGTCAAGAATCTACTGTCAGTTATGATTACTTTCTTGTGATTTAGTTTCCTTCCCATAACAGACATATTTTGGACATGCTGGTTGCCTGCTGAGATTATTATGTGTATTACAAGACAACATTTTATGATAAGGTGATTTATGTATGACATAAAATCACAATAGGCAACAGACAAATTAGGAGATTTCAATTTCAGAAATATGAGATGACACGACTTGCCCTGCCCATATCATCCAGCATATTAATTGTTGAGTAGAGGATACTGCTGCATCTGAGAAGATACAAATATTGATGCCTTAAATATTGAAGCTTATTTCTGCCAAGGAATAATTTTTTTTAAAGGTAATTATCTTACAATTCTGACTTTGTTTTCTCACAATTTTTAGTAAAACGGTCTGAGATATAAACTCAAAATAGTGAGATATTAACAATTGGGAGATATAAGTTTGCGTAAAAGTCGCAAATGCTTTTTTTATTCCTTGGAGGAAATAAGCTTGTTTTTGCCAATGAATACAAGAATAAAAAAGGTAATTGTGACGTTTCACCTCATAATTCTGACTTTTCTTCTTAAAATTGCGAGTTATAAATTCACAATAAGACTTTTCTTCTCAGAATTGAAAGACAAAAGAATTGTGAGATAAAAGTCACAATGACCTTTTTTAATTTTGTCGCAGAAATAAGCTTCCATACAAATACAACTGCAACAAATGCAATTTATAATACAGCAGTACTGTGCAAACTTTTTTATGTTACCCATACAAAAAAAATCTCTATACTATCTCAGTTAGGTCCCCTAAACATCAATGAGATTAAATAGAGACCGTTTAAATCTCCTGTTTGATGTTTCTAAAGGGGAAAAAACAGTAATCATGTATGAAAGATTCAGAAAGGATCACAACGGTGCTCATTTTTGACAGGATACAAAAGTTTGCTGTCAAAATTCAGTGACATTTCACATCAAATTCTCCCAAAACCAAATTATCAGAGGTAGTATGCTATCCACATTCATTTGAGAGCTTTTTTTTTTTTTTTTTTTTTACTTTTTTATTTCTTCAAAGGAAGATTAAGAGAAGGATGTGAACAGAGACTTAAATGAAGCATTTGGGAACTTCTCCAAGTCTGTTAAGCTATGAAAGATCAACCTGTGAGAAATAAAAAGAAGCAAGACAATTATTTTTACACTACCTGTAAGTTGTATGCCAGGCTAATGCGGGCACTTGAACAGAGTGGATTGAGATGCAGGGCTGAGAGGAAGTCCCTCTGGGCTTGTTTCCTGGCGTGATTGTGCCCATAATCCATGAAAACATTGCCTCTGCCCACATGGGAATCTTGCAAGAAGGGATCAAGTCTTAAAGCTTGGCTGTAAGCATCCACGGCTTCCTGTAACTGGCCAAGCCTTGAAAACAGACAAAGAAAGCAGACATCACCCTCAGTGATGTGTCCTAATTCTGTTTGCACAAGAAAATGAGTTGTCTGCTTAATTATGAACTTTGCCTTAAACTCTCTGTAAAAACATCCCCTCTCTCTTGCTTTTGAAAACTGAATTACAAGCTGTGCAACATTCCCAGTGTGAGCCTTGAATTCATCCAGAATTATTGTGAAGAGCCATTTATTTGAAAGTGGTCCTTAAAGCAATGAAAATGTGCAAATGTCGACTTCTATGGATTCGAAAGCATTCTGTTCTTTTGTAAATGATAGTTCAGAGAGCAATGCGTCTCGTCAGTGAGCTACTAAGATATTTCATATTATATAGTCCATGTAAAGAGATGAGATGTCCTGTTTGTCATAGGCTGTAAATCTGATATAAGTTGGACTGAACGCATTCTGGAAGTGCAGCAACTTTTGAGTGTTGATCAATAAAAATGATAGATATATTATGCTCTGAATGCTCCATTTAAATGCAGACCTGCACGGTAAGCGGCACAGTTCACAGAGAGCTTAGATAACTATTCATAAATGTCATACAAGGTTTCAGGACACCATTAATAATGTAGTCCTTAGAGTGTTCTTCCACTCAAACTCATGCCTTAGGACTATGAGAAGAAAAATACAGTAATTTTTTCTCTGACAAGTTCTTGTGCTTTAATAATAATAATAGCCATGTCATACATTTTTATCACTTTCCACACATTAACTCAATCATCCAAAAGTTTTTTTTCTCTTTTGAATACGCTTATTCAGAAATGATGGATTAATCAAAACAGACAGTAAAGACATTTATATTGTTACAAAAGATTTCTATTTCAAATAAATTCTTTTGAACTCTATATTCAGCAAAGAATCCTGAAAAAAAATTGTATCATGCCTTCCACAGTAGAAAATTGTACGGACCCCGAACTTTTGAATGCAGTGTTTATATTCTAAGATTCTTGTGGCAAAAGACATAATTACTCACAATTTATTTATAATTTCATAATTCAGGCATAATTTAGTTTTACATTTTATCCTCTTAATAAACATGCTATTTTTTTGCAGTTGTGCCTTTTACGACTTTACATAAACGGGCATAATTTCATGTGTGTGTTATATTTATTTTATTTTTAATCATTTTACTTTAAAGGCTCAAGATAAATGTGATTTTCCATAATGCAACCTACAGATTGATGCTATATGAATCACCTCTTTACTGTGGTGCATTCAGTACTTCACTATAAAGAGCAGAATGAAGAGCAGAACTCAAAAAAATTCAGTGAATTCCTAGTTCTAAGAAATTCTCAGTGAATAAAACCACATGACCTGCCATGATGTGTCTCAGAGGGCTAAAGCCTTGATCTTTTATTTTAAACACAATAGCAGTTAAACATGCTGTGGAGCAGTTATTATGACCCCACTGCCACTGCTGAGTGAAAATGGTTCTCAGCTTAAGCTTGGCAATTTAACACTGTGAAACAGTCAATCGTACTAAATGATAACTCAAAATAAATTCACACCTGTGGTGAATAACTCCCAGTGCATGAAGAATTATTACATCCTCTGGTTGTTTCTGTGCTGCAGCCTTAAAATCCTAAAACAAAACACAATAATTATCACTAACATTATTTTCACTACTACTGCTTTTATAAAAATGCTACTAAAGTCAACTTAACAAAAAAAATGACTCAATTTACTTTATTAAAATCGGTTCACATTATTCCAAAACATCCTCTAAAACCACCTGGCTTTATTTTTCAAATGTAATGGCTACTCTGACAATCCAATCAATTCCCATGGGATAAACTCATACAACACCGTTTTTTTAAATCTCCAAAATATGTCAACTTATTGATGTAAAACTGAGTTGTAAATGACATTTAATGAAAACAAGAATAGAGAAATATGAAAAACCTCACTATAAATCTCATGATGAATATGCTTTCAAAATCCTACAGACAAACGGATTACAGGCCTGATGCAATCAATGCTTCTTTTTTATAACTGTGGCCTACCTGAAGGGCACTGCCATAGTCATTCAGCTCCACATAAAGAAGGCCACGGTTTATCAAGACTTTCAGCTCAAGCTCCGTCTTACAGCCCAAGAGCAGCGTAATGCTATAGTCTCTGAGAGCCTTAAAGATTAAAGAGAAATAATGCGGAGGAAGAGAACAACTATGCATTAAAATGCAAATGCAGAAGTGCAATTGTTATGAAAAAGCATCCTGCATTTGTATATGTTTCTGTATGATCCTGTATACATTGCCGTTTTGAAAAAGCGGATGCAAAGCGGGGAAATGAAAAGAAACGTCACCAGTTCATAATCCCGCAGCTCATGAAAACATACGCCACGGTTGTAGTAAGCAAATGAACAGGCACTGTCCATCTGGATTGCCATTGTCAGATCCTCCACTGCACTCTTGTATGCCTAAAACAAGATGATAAGTGCACAACATTTCTCTCAAATACCATAGAGATCATCAGCCTCAAGTGACAGGTAATTATGCTCAAAACTGTGCTATTTTTACTAACTTTCAAATAGAATTTAAGAGCTCCTTTATACAAGTATGCTTTGACACTCTTGGGCTGGATCCTGATAGCTTCATTACAGTCGAGTACAGCCTTTGCATATCGTCCTTGAGCCCCATAAAGGGCAGCTCGGCTGAGATGCACCTTGAAAAAAAACAAGTGTTATTCTGAACCTATTGCACAGAACATTATTAATTCAGACAGACCATGCATTGAGTTAGAATCAAGGTGTACCTGATAGAGGTTGGGGTCGATTTGGAGAGCTTTGTTAAAGTCCTGCACACCTGTGGAGTCTTGTAGATGCATGCGGCACAGTCCTCTCTGATGGTGAGCCTCAGCGTGGTCTGGGTTCATGCTCACAACGCTGTTAAAAGCATCCAAAGCATGGAGGAGAAGAGAGTCTTCACTCTCCTGAATTAAAAAAAGGTGATAAGAGAATAGTGACAGATATGGTTGTGTTTCCATCTGTTTAGATTTTAAATATCACATCTTATGGATGTGATAAAATGCTACATGCGTGTTATCATTTTTGGACCACACATAGTAGTATTCAGAAACGTGTTTGAAGAAAGCAAAAGGGGTACGTTTTATTTGTTTTAATGTTGACTTTATCATTCAATGAATTACCTGTAACAAAAGCATTTGTTTCATGTAGCATATGCCCATAAGATAGAAGACCTCCGCAGCCTCTTGTGAAGTAATGAGTTTAGCTTTATTGGTACCCAGAAGTGACAGGGCCTTTCTGAAACTCTCCACTGCTTCCTGTGTATGACATAATATAAACCATGGAAAACTTGGAGCATTAATAGGTTACAATACTGCCTAACAGACAATACTACTAACAGACAAAAAGATGCTTTATAAGAGGTAACGGAAGTTACAGAATGCTGACAAAAAGACTTTCACATTTGCATTTGGCTGACGTATCCATTACATTCAAGGTATACATTATATAAGTTATATTCATGCATTCCCTGGGAATCGAACCTGTGATCTTGGCGTTGCTAGTGCCATGCTCAAATGTTTGAACTATGGTAGTAATAAGGTTTCTCATTAAATTCTAGAATGGTTCAGCAAGACAAAACATGAAATAGCAATTGCACACACATCTAAATGTGTGCCAAGTTGCTATAAAACAAAAACTAAAAAATAGTTGTATTAATGTAACAAAATACATTAAAACAGACAAATTATTTATTGTGTTTTTTCATAAAATACATATTTTTTCTTAATAAATTAAGATCACAATAACAAAAATAATCTGCTGTGTACACTAGTGTACAAGTGCACACTACTGTTCAAACGTTTAGGGTCAGTAAGAAAATTTTAAAAATTAATTAATACTTTTATTCAGCAAGGATGCACTAAACTGATCAGAAGGGACAGTAAAGACATTTATAATGTTACAAAAGATTTCTATTTCAAATAAATGCTGTTCTTTTAAACTTTCTAATCAGTGAAGAATCGTGAAACAAATTGCACCACAGTGCATATATTTTGATATAATTCTTGTTGTTTTATTTAAAATGTATCAAATGCATTTATGAAAAAAAAAAAAAAAATCACAAAAATATTAAGCTGCACAACTGTTTTCAAAATTGATAATAATAAGAAATGTTAATTGAGCACCAAATCAACATATTAGAATGATTTCTGAAGGATCATGTGACACTGAAGACTGGAGTAATAATGCTGAAAATTTAGGTTTGCATCATAGGAATAAATAAGATTTTAAAATATATTCACTGTTTTACAGTATTTTTGATCAAAATTTTTTGATTAAATATCAAATGTTTGAACAGTAGTGTAAATAACGGTAAAAATAACAGTAATGCACAGCCTCTAGTTTATCACTTTGGTGTATTTCTAAAGCTGCTGAAAAAGTAATACTAATAATGACTTGTTTGTGTTGGTGTCTTTGGAGAAGTTTGTTCGGTGTTTTGCTGGCTTAGTTCTGCCAGACAGAGCTTGACCGAGATACACCCTGCACGAGTCTCGGACTCACTTTGAACCTGTGCTCCCTCATCAGCGTCCTCCCAAGAAGAATGAGGTGTGGAGGAGTAGGGCACGTATCGACCGCTTCCTCGAGACAGATGACGGCATTGGCATAGTTCCCCAGGAACGATTGGACGACAGCTTGCTGGACCGGTGATAAACCCAGAGCTGTGACGGAAAGGAGGAGAGCTTTACAGCTGGGTCTAGTTGTTGTTATGGCAAAATAAACCACATTTCCCTGAAAGATTTACTTCACCTTCAGTTGGGCCAGGTGGCCTAACAAGATTTAATGATGCTCATTAAAAGATGGGTAGAGAGAAGGGCTGGGATATTTCAGGAACTAAAAGTATGCTTGCAATTTGCTGAAGAGTGAAATGAACTTATGTGATCATTACCTGTTTTCATTTCCGCTGCATACCGTATACAGAGGGTAGCCAGGTCAAACTGTTTCATTTCATACAAGTACTTCCCTCTAAAACCGGACACAAAAATTGAAAGAACTTTTCTCTATAGCAGAGTTTCACCAATTAAAAACAATAAGGGTTTTTTATAGACTGTCATAGTCAAGGTTAGATTTTTAAATTAAGACAAATGAAGGACAGAAGTAAATTCCCTTCGGTTGGTTGCACTGGTTTGAGGTTTGACATTATGTCCAATTTCCACAGTCATTTTTTAACTGGAATTTCGGGAAGACATATTCGCAATTAAGAGTAAGACCTATTGAACAAACTGTACTTCTATCCTTCACAGCCTTGTGTCAGAATAAACATGGTGGTATTCTGAATAAGTTTCAGAGAGGAAGCATTTTAGGTTTTTAATCTCCTAAGAACCATACAGCAACTCAAGAGCTAGAAATTAATAAAAGAATCAAGGACATGCAAATTTGTATGTTCAAATTACCTCATGATGTGCAGATCATAAGCGTCTGGTTTTATATGTATGGCTCGAGTCAAATCCTTCACCGCTCTACTCAGATTATTCACCTGTGAAAAATACAAGATCACTGGTTTAGTTAGTTTTATAAAAATCTACATTAAAATAAAATATTTTAGTAACCAAAAATCTCAAATTAACATGGACTAGGCATGCCATTATCCACAGTATTAACTGAAAATGAAATAATCCCCTGGGTTTATTCTACAATAAATAAAAAATCAAAAAAAAGAAAAAGAAGTAATCCGTTATAATATCAGATTCGGATTATTATCAGATTCAATAATCAGAAATAATCAGTCCATGTGGTTAAATGACCAAAGGAAATAGGAACAAAAGAAAAGCATAGTCAAATAAAATTACCAAAAGCTTTTTTTTAATTATCACATACATATATTTATAAATATAGCAAAACATATTTGTAAAAATTTATATTAAATATGTCTAAATACATTTTGTTGGATTTATTTTTTATTTTCTTTATATTTACATATTTATTTCCCCTGCAAGTGAGATCATAACACAAGAAAAAATGATAACACCTCCTCAACAAGCTGCATGATTTGAAGTATTAATTATGAACATACTGTATCACAAACATGGTTTGGGGTTTGTTTAAATTGCAAACCACAACTATAGATCTTAGTCGGCTTAGATGCCATATTGAATTTAATGCAGATGAAAACGAGGCTGTGAGTGACAGACTTACAGTCTTTACAATGGCATGTGCTGTATAAAGGTCGTAAATCATGTAATTTCCACAACTCACAACTTTCAAAACTGTTTTATGTAGTTTTTATCAACTGAAAGTCTTTTTTAAAGAGGTTTTGTCAACTGAACAATCAGTTTGTTGTTAAACAACAGTACAGTCTGTTGAATGCACTGTACTTCTATTCCTCACAGCTTTGTTTTCATTCCTGCCAAAAATTAAATATGGTGATACCCTGATTAAGATCTATACACAATAGTAACAGTTATGCTTTTTATTTTAAATATATCGATAATAAATTTGTTCATCTTTTTATGTGGCAGTCCAAATCATCCATATAACAGCCGCTTACGTTGAAATAGGCTCTGGCCCGGCATACGTAGGTTTTTACATAGGTGGGGTCCTCCTTCAATGCATTACTGAACCTTCTGATGGCCTCATATTGTCGGCCCATATTCAGCATACAGATCAGTCCCAAACTGACGTGGGCAACAGCCGCAAATCTGCTGTGACTTTAGAGAGGTGCACACAGAGAGAAGAGATGATGACTCAGATATGATTTCATTGATTTTAAATAAGCTGCTCAGAGACTTTGTGTCACTTTTTTTACCAAGAAGAGATCTTTTGAAAAGTAACTTTCAAAGAGTTTCATGCTTCAATAAATTTATCCTCAACTACGGCCTGCTGCACTGGTGCAACAAAAGAAAATGAAGGTCTTTTCGTCACAGAGTGGAGGAGGCTGGAACATCACCTGTCAAGTTTGATCACAGCTTCAAAGTCAGCCATAGCCTGCCGCCAGCGCCGGAGCGTCATGTAGACCTGACCTCGGTGCAGGAATGCACTGAGGTTTTCTGCACTGTCATTGATGAGAACTAGAACACACACATATACAGATAAAACATGGCTAATGAGAGGTCCTGGCTTTGAAAGTATTTGATTTTACTTTTCAGCACAAAGTTCTGGCATATGGTCTCCAATGTACCACTTTCATTATCTGTATCTGGCAATAAATTGTAGTGTAGATCAGTGTTTCCCAACCGGGGTGCCGTCTGTCGAGAGCAGGGGTGCCGTGTAAAAAATCCTTTTTTAATATTTTTAAATTGCAAAAATTTTCAAAAAAGCATCTATTATATAATATCCATTTCTGATGTCGCCAATAATTAGAGATGCACCGAAATATTGTAATACAGTAGCTCAGAGTGCTGACATGAGCCCTCTATGGCTCTATACAAAAGATAAGAGTGATTTCTATGTAACTGCTTTGAGTATTTAATTAATTACAGCAACACAGTATAAAAAAGTTATCAGGAGTTGGCCACTGAGAATGAATACAAGTTAATACAATTTCTGCTGATTTGTAAAAAGGCCTAATATTACCTATTGTGATGAAGCTGGTTTAAAAAATTCACTAAAATCTTTCCATCACATACAGTTTATTAAACAAAATAAGAATGATTGTTCAAATGATATGTATTTATCAGCTTTAATGCACTTATAAAAATAAGAAAAGCAGCCAAAAGTTTTGGTTTTAATTACAAAAAGAAGTATCCAAAATTTATTATTTAACTTGCAATCTGCAAAATCAGTATAAGGCATAAAATAATGTCTTCATAATCATTCATGCATCTGAAAAATGGTGGTGAAGTGAAGAAATAGTTGTAACCTGGCTCAGAGGAAGACAGGAACCATGTATTTGTGGCAATTTGTCTGGTGATTAATGGAGAAAACAAGACGTTTTCACTTTATAAAGGTTGCCGAAAGCCAAAATGTTAGGAAATGCATCATATTTTGTGAGAAAGTGTGACATGCTACAGCAAAACGGGCACTATTTTTGGAATCAGCACCCCAAAATATTTGTAAGAAATGAGTATTGGATTTCATTCAGCAAATATGATGCAGGCCGTTGTAATTTATTCAGACGAAATGAAATTCAAAGTGCTCCAAACATGTGGACCTTGCATCGATCCTGACAATGGGTGACTGGTTTGCTCCAATATTTATATTGCTTCATATACTGCAAAAGATTATGTTGATAAATTGGCTTAAAGTAAAATTTCTGCTGAGTATTTTCTGCATGGAACATGTCACAAAAATAGGCTCAGTGCCGAAGCTCTACTCACGCCTACACTCCTGTTACACAGCACCACAGTGCTTAGGTTGGCAGTGTGAAATACTTTACTGATGAAGCTGTTCAGTTTGCAGTAGACAACGCTGACAAAATATTTCTCCAATCTTCAGAGATCAAAGCAGCAGATTACAGCTGCCAAAATCATGTACGATAAGACTTGATGGCTCTTATTTGTTCTGCTGGCTGAGTAGTGATATTAACATCCTCATATGACCTGATGCAACAGATGCAGCTGCCTGCCATGAGATGTTATGAGAGTGGCCCCATTGATGGTGCATAACCGTGTGCAAAATGGCTTTCTTTAAAGATTTAGATCAAAGACATGGAGACATAATATGGAAAACAGGATTTCCCTCCCAAGACCATTTATGAAATCTAAGCTAAAAAATGTGTCATTCAGAAATCTGTTTGTATATGACATCACAAAATCTCAAGAGAAAAAATCTGAGAAGCAGATGCAGTCCAATTGCTGTCTAGAAGAAACATTTAAGTCATATGAAATATTAAAGATATTTAAGAGATCTTGTTTCTGATTTATTCTTTCCTGTGAGCGTCCTGAAGAAATCATATGAAAAACTCTCATGTTTAACTTTTGATTTGATTGTTGAACAACCATGACTGAACCATCTATCTAATCATCCTGCGTTTTTCAGGTTGTCAGACCTCAACATTTTACTTAAACATACCCATGGGCATCAGTCTGCCTCAAAATGTTGGCAAAGTACTATGTCTGTATATTGAGTAACTGTGAAACTGTGAAAATTGCACATTTTCATGTGTTATATCAAGCATGTACGTGTTACCAGATGTGCTGAGGTCCCTTAAGGCCATATGAGGCATTATCTTCCTCAGCAGACACCCTCTGTGGTAAAACGCCAACCAGCTACTGGGATCCAAGTGCACAGCCAGAGAAAAGTCCTCGGTAGACTTCTCAAACTGACCCAGCATGATATAGATCCTTCCTCTGTATGTTCTGCAGTGAGTGGAAAAAACTATAATTGGATATACACATCAGCGAAGAGGTGAAGTAATTATTTTTTAGTGGAAATCAAACACAAAGCATGCTGAATGAGGTATATAACCCTCATTATAATCCTGACCTGGCTGTAGCATTCCCAGGTTCTTGCTTCAGCAGCAGGGAGAAGTCTTCCAGGGCCTGCATCCATTTGGAGGTGTTGAAGAGCTGTATTCCATGGATCATCATTGCATCAGTCCTTGTAGAGTCGATGGTGAAGGTCTAGGGGTCAAAAAGGATTTATTTTAAAAATTTTCTATGTTCCATGTAAATTGTAATCACTGAGCCAATGCTTAAGCAACAATTTTCTATAATCAGCATTATCAGCACTCTTTTGCGAACTCAAACAGATCTTGGATTTATATTTAGAGTGCATGATGTGCATGCCAACTGTGTTCTGCTCAGATAAGCTTTGAAAAACTGACTAATTCTGTCCACTAAAACTAGTACAAGCTAATTACAGTGATTAAAGAGTGCAAAAATAACACCTGGCAAACACCAATTCAAAAAGCCTTCTGACAGTGCTTGCAATGCAAAAAATGTACAGATTCCATTCAAACATCTTTTATTTAGCTAAAAATAGGTCTACTTAGTTTTTTTTTTTTACAAATCCATTTCCCACCTTTTCTCTGACCCTTAGAGTTAAACGGATCATTAAGTGGACCATTAAGTGAAGTGAGAAGCTGCACTTTGCAGTTCTCTCACCCAGGATGATTTTGACTCTCCCAACAGCCTTGTTGCAAAGCCTGTATCACATTCTGACAGGTTCACAAAACAATTCATGCTGAAATGTGCTGCACAAACTGGTAATATCAGACTGCAGCAAGGATATGCAGGTGCTACACACAGACAGGAACAATTTTTCCATATTTAACTCTTATCTGCATTTCTTTTGGTGTTTGAGAATGATAATTATAGTACATTTTGACTGTACAGCACCTTTCATATATTAAATGCTGCTCGAAGTACTTCACACGTCAGAATATAAAAAGCATAAGAAGTAAAAATCAATCAATAAAACTGTAACAAGCAGCCACAAGCAAAAACGTGGAAGAGGAATATGTATCTGTCCTACTTACAGTACCTTATAGGGATGTCAAAATTCTGGATATCGAATAGGCTTTGCTGACATTATAAAAGATTTTATAAGAAAAAGAGTTTATTGCACTATGAAAAAATACTTTCATAATTCAGATTCAGAAACTCAGAGTTGTTTTTGCTGCTTAGGTTCAATATGTGGTCTTGGGAGAATTGGAGAAATCTTCACTTCTGAAAGTTACAGGACTGTATATTTTCATAATAAAATAAACTCATTTATCTCAATAGGTCAAGGAAAATTGAATTCCTCATGTATGACAGCTTTAAGAAATAGCTAAACGAAGATTAATGTTCAAAATCTACCTGTTTAGATTAAAGAGTCATAGTTAATTGTGATTAGTCTATTACACATCACCTTGCAAGCACTGGTTTTTGCTTCTGGAAATGCAAATCTAATTATATTGTTTCATAGGGCTCACTTTGACATAGTCCTCCATGGCCAGCAGTATCTCGCCCATCTTTTCATACATCTTTGCCCTCTTAAAGTAGATCTCTGCATCATCTGGCTTGACTTTGATGGCTTGGGTGTAGCTGAATAGAGCCAGTGTGGTATCCCCTCTTTGTTTGTAGATTTCTGCTGTAGACATGAAGGCGCCTGAAACACATTTGGCATCAGTCATGAGTTTCTACACTTTGTTCTGAAGAAGGTTTTGTTCACCAGAAATATAATAATTTACAATTACATGATTTTACTTTCTCTTTTACCTTTACAATTAAACAGGCTGTTTATAGCCTTTAAGACTAGGGCCAGGCTGATGAACACTGAGTGGGCATTTACTGTATATTATAATGCTACTTTTTATTATAACGTGGCAGGTCATATGTTAATGCGCTCATGGTTATCACATCATAATCACGACAAATTCTGAATCAGTGTTATTTTAGTACTACTTATATATACAATTCTAATTTTATTAATATTTTGAATTAGCTTTTATTTTATTATTTTAGTTTTATTTTTAATTACATTTTTTGTAATTTTGCCAATTTGTCCATTTTAATTATCATAGGTTTATTTTTATTTCAGTTTTAGTTGTTATTTATTTCCGTTTAATAATTTTTGTGCTTCAAATATAAATTCAGTTGCTAAGCTAGCATTTCAAATATTCATTTTGGGTTTTTTTTTCTGAAAGACCTGTTTTAAGAATTTACTTTGCATAAATGATCTCTGTGAACAGAGGAGGAAGCTCAGCAAGGCAAACATTGGAGTATGTCTATATAAGCACATCAAATATTTTTATTTCAAAACATGACGTCTTGGTTTGATATAGGTTCTGTTTTGTCCAATACAGAGGTCAGATAGCACACATTATTATTGCATCAGTATCTTGTTTCCCTGCTGTCTGGTAATGTAAGTGGACTCATGCACACACCTGCATGCTTCTTGTTCTCAACGATGACGTTTAGATCGTCCAGAGCTCTATCGGGGTCGTTTCTCAGCAGGTAGATGTGGTGTCTGTGCCAGTAGGCATCCAGTAAATAGGGCTCCAGGGAGATGGCCTTTAAAAATAGAAAAACAACAGATCGATCATTAGTACACAATAAACTAAGCAAAAAATAAGGTCGCATCTGTAGAACATTCTGTTCAGGTTTGTTTGGATTAATAATTTCTGAAATGAACCATTTTGTACTGAGCTAACATTTTTAAAAAAATCTTATGAGCAACAGTAATAATTATGCTTACTTTAGCATGCATCACTAATAAAAGACAAGAAAATAAGGCTTACAGCATTGAGATCTTCAAGGGCCTGGTTGAGATAACCAAGTTTGATGTAAAGTGCTCCACGACGACAACAGTCGAAGGCACTGTGGTTTCCACTTTCAGTCAAAGTTTGGGTCAGCTTGGCCACTTCATGCTCCAAATCAACTGTATTGAGACCTTCATCCAAAACCACTTTGTCCAGATCCTGGATCTCATCCTGTGGAAGCTGGTTCTCCTCCAGACCACCAGGAAAAGAGCCTGCACTCTGGAGATTTTCCAGAGGGGGAAAGACCTCGTCAAACCAGGCGTCCCATATGTCTCTGACCCACTCTCGGGGTGGTGTCGTGTCAGGTATCCCACCATGATCTGTGGCAAAGGTCTCAAAATCCAGGAGCATGGGCAGACTGGGGCAGAGGAGGAGTGAAAATTGCCCTTTGGAGGTTTTAGACTCCCATCGTAACTGACACAGAGACTCACTCCTTTTAGAGAATAATAGGAAAGATAAACACATTATTAATGCAAACATCACAACAGACTTAAAAAGTTGAAAGAATGATGCTCAAAACAGTTCCTTTTAGAATACTAACTGGACAGAAATATTCCTTTTAGAATATTTATGAGATACACCCTAATACAAGATGTACTGCATCATAAATTGCTGTAAAAGTCTGTTTTATATCATTGGTTTGTTATATATATTGTTATATTTATATCACACTAAAACCTTGTTAGTGTCCGTGATGGCTCTCTCAGTTTTTTCCAAACGTAGGCCATCTTGACAGAGCTGAGTGTTTTTCCTCTTTTCTTGGCCCTGCGTTTGAAATGGGACACCCTTGCCCTCTCTTTGCCTTTGTTCCTCCTGTGGTTTGGGACCTGGCAGGGCTGCTCTGATGAGTTGGGCTCTGTGTGAACCTCCTGAGGCTTTGTCTGTTTGGCATTGGATGGGGATTCTTTGGCCAGAGCTGCACAGATTGAGTTCTGTTGCCGCTGCCACCGCACATGCTCCAGCTCCTGGGAAAGGCTGGTGAAGTCGGACTGCAGCCGAAGATGGGGCTCAAGATCTGGGGTTAAGTGCGGGGCAGAGCGAGGCCGTCTCGCCTAAAACCCAGAGGGGAGACAGGATATTACAAGAGGTGAAAGTCTGGTTGCACTCATTTGTCCTACAATGCAGCAGAACAACTTGCATCCAAGTGTTACATTAAAAATACTGAACCGTTTTAAGTACTTTATATAACATATAGGCTACACAGAATAAATATTAGAAAAAAAGATCTGTTAGTTGTAGAAACTGAAATTTGGTCTAGGAAAGGTGAAAAATATAAGGCATTGGTAGCTAAACTCCCAAACAGAGAAAGGAGCACAGTTGTTATCTTACTGAGAGTCTAGCTTTATATAAGAAGAGACAAGGTTAAAGGGGTCATATGATGCGATTTCAAGTTTTCCTTTCTCTTTGGAGTGTTACAAGCTGATTGTGCATAGATAAGATCCCAAAAAGTACTAGGAATTTATCAAATATCAAACAACATCAAAACTAGAATAGACTTCCAACCTGTTCTGCTGAGATGAGCCCAGAGGGATTCGGTGAAACTGTTGTTCTGAAGTCTGCCACAGACTTACACTTAATAGGCGAGTCATTTTCCTGGGGACAAGGCCAAGTTTTTAGAGGATGTCCAACACAGTGTTATTCAGAAAACGGTCTTGATAATTCACTGGAGGTAGTGACATGAAAGCAAACTAACAATTCTTTCTTTTCTTGTTTTCTTCCTTTCTTGTATGTATGGAGACAAATATGAAAATTTGGCACAGCAGTGACAGCAGAGTTATGCATTGTTACATCCTATACTGCTTCAAAACCTAATTTAAATAGTTTTCTAATTCTTCTATAAAAAACTATGCATGTATTGCCTAAATATTATGCATGTAGAGACTATGTGGAATATTTATCACATATTAAATAGTATTTACTATTGTTAAAAAAGTTTGGAATTCTCTTATGCTCACCAAGGCTGCATTTATTTGATCAAAACACAGTAAAAATAACATTGGGAAATATTATTACAGTTTAAAATAACTTTTAATATATTTAAAATGTAATTTATTCCTGTGATCATTACTCCAGTCTTCTGTGTCACATGATCCTTCAGAAAACATTCTAATATGCTGATTTGCTGTTCAAGAAACATTTCTGATTATGAATGTTGAAAAATTTGAAAATATGCTTAATTAAAAAAAATATAGAAAAAGAATAGAATAAGAACAGCATATTTAAATTGAAATTCAAATAAATTTCCTTTCCTGTCACATTTGATCAATTTAATACATCCTCGCTAAATAAAGTATTAAAAAAATCATACTGACCACAAGCTTTTGAACGCTAGTGTATAAATATATGGAAACATTATAATAAAAATACAATACAAAAATGTTTGTAAAGAGTTTCATGGATATGTCATTTTGTCAATTACACAACGAATTTTTGTTTTTTTTCATTTTTTTTTAAAAGAAATCAACTTTTCCGAATTTGTTTTCTAAAACTTCCTCTTTAGACTGATAATTAAGGTTAATTAAGTAAACAAACCTCAGAAGTAACCTGTTCTGTGTCCATCACATGGCTAACTGACTCCTCCACATTGTGCAGCTCATCCAACAGATTCTCTTTGCACAGGTCTGCCTGGGTTATCTGAGGATACAAAAATTTATAAAAATGTAAGCTAGAGCAGTGACTTTACATCATAAAAGTGTATAACACTGGAACAAGATTTCACTTCAGTTATTTTCCTTATCAGAAGGTAACATGAGGAATTTAATATTCCCAGCATGAGCAAGCTCAAAGGAAATATCCTTGAGATTACATTAATAGCTATAAATTATGTGAATTGCAGGCATTAATATGTAAGTCAAGTGCTCATTTTTTAATTTAAACTCTTGACAAGATCATCCTCAAGTGCTTCAACCCATTTCTCTTTTATTATTCGCTTACAAGAAAATTGCATTCAAATCAAGATAATAACAGAGAGAAAGCATGTATCATTGTTAGTGTAGAGACACAGAGCGACTCTGGGATCTTCTCTGAATGCAGAAGTCTACAGCATAAATGCAGGACGCTGATGGGAGGAGGCATGCAGTGATTTCTGCAGCAAAAAGGTGCTGTTAAAAGTCCCAGCACACTGAGATGGAAGCACAAGTCTGTTAATGGTGCCTCTATACCTGGTATTTGGGGAAAAGTGTGTCTTTCATAACACAGGGGGCGCAGATGAATTTAGGAGGTGCTGGGCTCCAGAACATTCTGAGCTCACTGGGACCCAATGTTGCCTATGAGAAATAAAGAATTACAATAATTGGATGTTGGAAAGAGCTGTTAAAAATCAAATAAAAGAATTCTAATGATGTTCATTGGGCTTATGCAACAGTCTAATAATAATAACCCAGGAGCTTGAACATTAAGAAATGTGTAAATCTTTAACTCATCTGTTAATTATATTGGGAAAATAATTTGTGTCTAATGCCATCTAGTGACATAATATTACAAGTACAGTGGGGGAAAAATAGTCGTATGTTTGAATGAACATATACAAGTGTTTTACATATAATGTATTGAAGAAATGTAACAGACTTAAAAAGTCAATTTTAACTAAACCTTTATTGCATATTTGATAATGCACTAAATAGCATAATTATGCTATCATAAATCACTGCCTCTGTCAAGCAAAACAGTTTTGCCTATACTTCCTTAAAACTGGAGCATTGGTTTTAATTAATCACATCTAGTTGTCAATGTCACGCATTAGTCACTTTGATGAAAGCCACTGACGGTGAGTCATAAAATAATAGATCTTTCTTACAGCACGTCCACACATCATAATCCTTGGTCTCTCCACGTAATACTCTGCTATTCTCTGCCAGTCCTCCAAAGTATCTGACGTCTGTTTAGGCATGTGGGAAATGCAGTCTGTCTGTGCTGAAACCCCAGCAGAAGCAACAGAAACACCTTCATACACCAGCCTACAATGAGTAATAAAACATTAATGGTACGTCATTGGATCTTGAAATGTCATTATTTGGCCTGGAAATATATCTTTAGAGTGACTCGAACAGGTACAGTGCTTTAAGAGGAAGAGTTAGAACCTAAATGGTGACCTGAATTCATAATGAATGAGTTTTAATGAGAAGCATTCTAAAAGAAACACGGCTGTAGATTATACCTTTGCATGTCAGGATGAGATATATGTTCAAGTGCTGTCCTCTGCTGGTTAAACTGTGCTGTTGCAGTGATCAGGTTTTGAGTGTGGCAGATTCTAGAAGCAAGTTGTAACTCAACAGGCACGACTTGACTTACAGGAGTGGTACACAAATGGTGGATGGTTTTATACCCTTCTGCACTGCAGACAGAACAAACAATTAGTGGGGGGACAAAAACCTGTTATGTGCTTTAAAAAAATGCTTTAGGAAAACATGGTCTGAAGAAAGCAAGACAGAAAAACAATAATTTATGGCCTCTTATATGGCCTCTTCCAAAGCAAAATGACAAATGCAAAATAAAAGCATTTCCATTAGTGGTCTCAGACTTCAGAACGCCACTGTATGTACCAAATGATGCTTGCTTGCTCAACAGTCACAGTGTAATCAATGGTTTCAAGTTTCCAATGTGTATTTAACGGCCTGAAATTATGTTTCATGACCCAATATAAATAAATACATTCTCATTACAGAAATACTTTTAGCATTCAATCTGGTATCAGGGTCTCACAGGAACATTTCTTGGACCTTAAACGTAAACCATTTTGGGTGCCAACTCAATGTGATATAGGCCCTATGTTCTGCCATAAAAAGATGATAAGTCAGTCTATTTGCACGGATTGTCTCTGCCATAACTTCACACCACTGTTTGAACTGTAGATAGCGGAAGAAATGACCTCAGAACTGACTTTGTGTGTGGGCCCTTTGTGTTCCTCAAACTGCAGACAGGCAGGAGAGGCCCTCCGCCACCCACGTCCCCACGGCTCCACTGACAGCGCCAATTTATTGCGTACATTTCGTTCACTCTGGCCTGTGACAGGCTAGATTTATCACCTCGCTCTGGCACGGTTAAGCCTCATCGAAAGACCTGGAAGGTCACACCAAAGTCATTGGCCCTGCCTGCACTGAAAAGAAACATTCCTGAACCGTAAGGAGGAACCTTCAACCTGCCCCGCTATCCATCTGCCCCGTAGGCAGGCGGCACTCATATAAACCCTCTCAACCGCGTCCAACAGGAACCTTTCAGTGACCCTTGTGACTGGAAAAAGCTAGTAATTAAAAGGCTCTTTTTCTAGAGTGAGGGAGTGGCACAGGTCCAGCCGCGCAGGTAGTAAATCTTGCGTTATCAGCTCTCAGGTGAGTGCTGGAGAGGTCGGGAGGAGGGATGCGTGGGTGCACTGGCTCCAGACAGACCCGCAGCACAGATGAGTGGAGTAAGTGACGGGCAATTACTTGCTGTGTTACTGCTCCCTAAATAGGGCTGATGACAGCTTTGGACACTCTTCTCAGGTAGCGTGAAACTAGATGATCATTTGCGTCCAAGGCCACCCTCTGCGCCCTTCCGCTAGCGATGCGTTGAGAGATTGACATGCTGATAGCAAGTGGAACATGCCAATATATCAACACATAGATTAGTAAACCTTAGTGTCATAATGCATAAAATCAAGTATACAGCAGCCTAAAAAGCATTTGAACATTGATGACTCACTTAAAAATGTCTGAATGTCATTGCATTAGATGCAATACATCAAATCCACATCTACTGTAGTTTAACAAAAAGATACCTTTCTGATAAAGAAGTGTGCTTTAATAAACTTTTGTCATGCTTAAAGGATGTAGACGATGTAGTTTGCAGTGTTGACTAACATATGAAAGCTCACGGTAAGTACTTGATTAATTTTAACGGTAATGTCTTAATCAATATAACATTTAATATATTTTAAGTGTACTAAATTGCAACTTCATCACTATAAATGTGTAATTACAAATATTTTTTAATACCTGATATACAGTTTGCACAAAGTATATTCTTTTAAAGTATATTATTTCTGTAATAAGTACTCTTTTTATGAGTACTTCTTTTTACAAGGGACTGTCCTGACTACTAACTATCCTTGCTACACCACAAACCTACTTAATTCAAACTCCAAAGCCACTTTATATCCCAGACGTTCCAGGCGTGTTAACTGTAATAAGTACTCTTTTTAAAAGTATGCTAAAGTGTGCTTCTTTTTCATAAGGGATAACATCATTTTCACAACGAGAAGTCTGTATGTTTTAAAATAATGTGCAATAGAACAATACTTTTTATTTGGACATTTTGTGGTTGTAAAACGTTAGTGGAATATGTTCATACTTAATGTGATGAACTACACTTGTGGAATGGCTGTGTAAACTGACTTCATACATCCACTAAAAATCACCAAAACACCAGTTGATTAAATGTAATTGATCAAAAACAAAACCATTCCGAGAAAAAATCCTGCTCCACTTGGGCCCAGGAGAAACTTGCTTTGATATTTTGCTATCTAATGCAATTAAATGCATACTATGTCCAAATACTTTTGGGGGCCACTGTATATCACTAAATATTTTATACTCTTTTTTAGGTGTCCAGGTTGCCAGTAGTGAAAGGCCTTGAATGGTTTTGGTCTGATGGGAAGTCCTTTCTGGTCTCTGAACTGGAGTCAAGCTACATCCATGGGCCATTATTATATCTTCGTTGGTCACCTTAAAAATATTTAAAAAAAAACATTATATATACAAATAATTTACATAGATTGTAGGAACATGTATCCAATCTAATACATTCAGCACCACTCGTGCTATTGCTCACACTTACTAACATTAAAAAGTTATTTGATTGCACAACTTTCAACTTTTAGTAGCTGTATAATCAAATAACTGTTATTGTTTACCTGGGATAAGAGATCCTCGAGTCCTCCACCATCAGAGCCAATATCAGAATCCTTCTGTAAAACTGACTCAGCCATCTTGTAGACACCAGATGACACAGGTGGATGGCACATTAGTCTTGGGGAACATTTCTCTTTTGGTACTGAGGTGTCTCTTTGAGTTGGCCCCTGAATAAAAAGAAAAATAAGTTTATAAACATTCTTCTTAGAAGTTTTCATTCTAAGCCTATGACTTTACCCATCAGAATGTACTAACAGGAAATGCTACAGATTTCCTCACTGCAATGAGACACAATACAGTATATCATAGCCACATGCTCACCAGGGCTTGAAAAACAAACAAATGTGTTGCTCCTTTGTTGCCTCTGGGGTTTCTGAAACTGACAGCTCCCCTAAGAAATATTTGATCTTACTCTTGTTATGTTTTATTATAGCACTTCAGATGGAAGATTTATGCTGTGCATGTTGACGCTGTCCCAAAGCAGTTTGTGTAATATTGCACAGTATATCTCATTGCATTGACATGTTGCACATGCAGTGGCCCTAAGAAGTATTTGGACACTTAAGCCAAATTTAAATGCCACTGCATTAGATACAAAATATCAAACCAAGCTGCTTTTTTTTTTTTTAAAGGATAATATTGCATGTATTGCATCAAGTTCAACAACTTTTGTTAGGTTTTAAATAATAATAATAATAATAATAATAATAGCTCATGAAAGTGAATTTGTTTGGAGATGTCATTATTTTATACATTTAAATAATAAAAAAATAAAGCTAACATTATCAGAACTGCAGCTATGTAACTTCTCTTTCCATATAAAATTAAAATATATAAAATAAACAATAAACTACTAAACTAAACTACTAATAAAATAAAATGCTAACCTTATTAATAAAATAAAAGAATAAAAAATAAAAAATAAACAGCTAACCTAATCAGAGCTGCAGCTGTGTCCTCCTCTTTATATATAAAACAAACATACATAAAATAAAATAATAAACTATTAAACTAATAAAGTAAAATAAAATAAGACATTAAATAAAATAATATATAATAAACAGCTAACCTCATTATCAGAGCTGCAGCTCTGTCCAACTTTCATATAAAAGAAAATCAAAATAAAATAAACATGCTATTAAACTTAATACACATAAAATAAAAAATAAACAGCTAAGCTCACCATCAGAGCTGCAGCTGTGTCCAACTTCTCTTTTCATGTATAATAATTTATATAAAATAAAATGCTAACCTTATCATCAGAGCTGCAACTGTGCCCAGCTTCTCTTTCCATAGAATGTACAATAGCACCACTATCCTCCTCTATGTGCCCACTTCCCATCACTGTGTCTGCTAAGGTCTCATTTGGCGACCTCTGCTGGTCAACCTCATCTGGCAGCTTAGGTCCAGCAATAAATCTGGCTTCATTTAGCAGCTCAGAGGTGGATTTGACACTTTGGATGGTGCTTGAGCCAGCGCTGCTGGTGTGACTCTGGGAGCTGCTGTGTTTGGAGAGAGTTTGATGTTCATGAGGCTCCCGGAATGTTTCACTCTTTCCTCTCTGTGCTCTTTTATGCCCATTCTGTGCTGAATTCACAGAGCCTGACACCTCATTGTCATTACAGCTGGCCGAATCCGTCCGGTTCTGTCCTCCAAAGAAAGTGGACTGTTGATTGCTGAAGTTTTTCGTCTCCTCACCTGAAACCTGCTGAGCAAGTGTGCAAGGTTTGTAAGATCCACTTGCTGATAAAGGCATCTCTGATCTGGGCTTAGCAGGAGGTTTCGGCCTTTGGGACAAGGATACTGCTTTGGTGGTCCCTACGAGAGAGGCTATGACGGGCTTTCTGACAATCCCATGCCTGGCTTTAAGTTTTGGAAGAGTTATTATGTTCCCTGATTTGTCTATGGAAGAAATGTTTGGGCTTGTGCTCTGACCCCGGCTCATTTTGTAGGTCTTTGTAGAGACATGGATTTAGGGGGCAGTTTGCAGAGGAGAGGAAAGTGAAAGTCTATTTGAGACCCAACACAGCTGGGTTTTGTCAGGATGCGGGGAAAATCTGTGATGACAGGGTTCACCTGACAAGGTAAGAAAGAAGTCTACTTCTGTATTCTGAATTCATATGGGCGCTTCATATATAGGAAATCCTGGAAATGAAAAGGAAACAAAAACAGAAGTAAATCATTGTACATGATTTTTTTTTTTTTAAACGAATATGCTTAATTTTGGGGACAAAAAAAAAACACTTTTTGCCTCATTTCTGAACATTTTTGCTTCCACATTTGTGTCAAGACTGTTAAAAGACCTATATCTGTAAAATATTATATATACAGTATATAGTAGCATATATTACTAATTCAGTTCTGTGACTGTCAATTGAATTTTGTAATGTTGTGTTATTCTATATTCTCACGCGTATTAAATAATCATTATACATTATCTTTACACGTTTGTGCTACTTATAAAGACAGAAATTTATAAAAAGTTTCAAACTGTAACTTATTTTACGGTTCAAAGCTATAAACGCTATATAAGTTAACGTAGTTAGCCAGCTAGCTTTCTATCTCAAAAGTTGCTTTTTATCATGCTGTGTGACGCAACAAATCTTAAAACATTTAAAAGTATTCTCTAAAAGTATCTTACCTTTTCATGAATGTATTCTCGCCTTGAAATTTACTTCAAATTAAATTGTATCGGCTGAGAAATAACTTCCGCTTTTTACCTCAGAAACTCAAACAGTGAAACGCCACGCAGCGTCTCCTAGCAACCAGCCGTAGACGTGCGCGTGCCAGAGAAAATCTTCACATGGAAATATTCAAGTACTAGATCATTATATGTTGTTGTTAATAATTATTATTTGCCCTGTAAGCATTTTTATTTAGCATTCTGTATTTTGCAGAGTTCAACCACTCAATTGTTCAGATTTGCCAAAATAATAATAATAATAATAATAAAATAGGTATAATTGTGAGCTTTAGTGCAAACATTGAGATCAGAGAGAAACAGGGAGAAAAAATAAAATAAAATAGCCTAAATAAATTAACACATTAAATGTACATACAAAATTAAAGTTTCGATTAGAATAAAAAGGTTTTACATTCTAAAAAGTAGGCCTACTTTTATTTTCTATTTTTAAAGAAAACTATATTTGTAACCTATTGATCTGAAGAAACTATAAATTTGAGCTAAATAAATAAATACATACATACATCATAGCCAGTTTTTATTTATTTTATAAATCATGCATTTAATCTACTGACAAGGCAATGATGGTACTCTCTATCCCTCCCTCCCTCCCTCTCTGTATCTGTCTCTCATGGGGGCTTTGACATGGTCTAATGTTCTTTGCTTCAAGGGCCATTTCATTCCGTCCTGTGAGGAATCGATCTGTGCTCTAATGGTGTGAGAGATCACTGGAGATAATCCGCTGTAAGTGGATGATCAGTGCTGTCATTCGCTCATTAGCAGGTGTACAGTGGGAAATCTGACCTCTTGTTTATCTGAGCAATAAGAGGAGGGAGATGCTGGGGTTTCCAGGTCCTTCCTAAATGCAGGACTCACTACCAAAATTAACAGCTTCCAAAGTTATTACAAGATTAATAATATTTCATCTGCTATTCTGTGATTCTTGTTTAGGTTTGGAAACACTTTTTAACAAAAATACATTGAAATACATTACTCGATCTGTATCTGTATTATATATTTTTAAATACTAAATGTCAAGTATTTCTATTCAATTATTTAAACAGGCCTAGTTAAAATTGGTAGAATATATACATTTCCATGCATTATGATATTTAAATATACATCAAACAGCATTATTTTGGTGACATTTTACAATAACTTTATGAAGTAAAAATGTAATGTTTTATAAAAATGTAATAATTTAAAATGATTGAAACAGCATGAATACTTTCAACAATAACATTAATCAATATTACTACAATAAATAATGCTTAACAGATCGTTATTTACGTAGGCTACTCTATATTCAAATAAGCCCAGTAAGAAATGTTATGATTCATATATATTTTTTGTATGAACATGTTAGCATTATATAACATTTTCTAAAGGCATATTAATCGGGATATTATAAAGTAGTATGTTATATAAATTAAGCAAATATAAAATATTACTATATTACATTAATATACGTTGTAATGTCATCAATTAAAGTTATTATACAATCCTACTGTTATTTTGCAAAAAATACAAACAAATAAATATAATTTAAAATGTTAAAAGAGTCTTTGGATATGTAATATTATGCAACATAATGTTTATTCCAGTAGTGTTAAAATAAAAAATACTTTTTTTTTTTTCTTTTTCTTTCCTGTGAATAGAATTGTGAAAGAAAACACACGGGGCATTCCTGTTTAAAAACAGCAGAGTAGACGTGTTCCTGGAAGAAGGAGAGAGATCCAGGCAAATGAGACATAGAAAGTGGGCTGTACCGTGTTCTACGTAACAGGCAGGGGAAGATCTCCAGTTCAGTCCCAACATTTCCTCACTTTACCCAAAGCCGCGCACAACATCCCACCAGTGACTGCGCGGTGCCAGGACGCGCGCGCGCACACACACACACACACACACTCACACGCGCTGTGAGTCTGCGAACTGCATGTGCACGAGCTGCGGATTTCCTCCATAATGTTGGGCGCAGTGAAAATGGAAGGACACGAAACTACAGACTGGAGCAGCTACTATAATGATGCACAAGAGGTGAGAGACGACTAGCCTATTACTTCCACTCTGAGCTTCTGGAATAGCCAGAAAGTTTGTTGCTGCATGCACGTGAATAATGCATCAACCGATTGAAACCGAGGCGCAAACCACTTTTTAAAAGACTGCGAAATTAAATGTAAATATATATTCCACTGAATTGTGATCTGAAGCTGAGAAAATATCAGCCATTGATCAACCCACTTGGTGGCAGTAGTGATGTCATTGCAAGTGGGTCACAATAGTCTGATATTGTAAGAGTTTAGTAAATATAATTGTCTATCGAATTAATATAAACGATTTAAAATTAGTAGCGGACTAAACTATTTTTTAAATTACATTTATTATCGATTATGTATATATTACACAATTTTACAAGGTAGCCTGTATTTTGTCTCGTTTAATTTGAGCAAAATTCCTTTATTAAGTTAAATTCTATAAAACAGTCTATATTTGTACTATAAAATAAAATGCGTCACGTGCATCAGCGATTGCACATTTAATATTTCGTTATTTTAAAAAGAGCAAAATAAAAACATTACCACATCTAGATTAAAAATTAAAATTAAAGTGATTTTTAAAATAAATAAAAAAAATAGCTACTATTTTTAATGGTCTGAAATTGCTGCTTTGTTTAATAAATCGGTTAACTCGGTTTATACCTGTGGAGACATTGGTATTGTTGTATTTTGTAACTTTTTATTGTGTGTGGTAGATGCTGTGGGTTGTATATGTTGTCCTATTGTCTTGTTTTTTTTTTATTTGGACCTTGAGTCTGTAATAAAGATTGATTGATATACCGTAGTCTAACTATTTAAATAACGAATTTTTTTTTAAATAGGGGAAATGACGTTATTGTCTGAGAGAAAAGATGCAAAATGACATTCTATACGAATTAAAGTGCTGAATACAAATATATTAGAGTACTAAATGCCACGATTTATTTATTTCAGGTCTATTCTCCCATGACGAACAGCAGCATGAACGCTGGGCTGAGCTCCATGAATAGCATGAACAGTTACATGGGCATGTCCACCAGTGGGAATATGACTTCCAGTTCTTTCAACATGTCCTACGCGAACCCAGCGCTGAGTGCGGGACTGAGCCCGGGCACCATGGCAGGGATGCCCCCGGGTGCCACCGGCGCCATGAACGGGATGAGCGGCAGCGTGGCGACCATGGGCACCGCGCTCAGCCCGTCCAACCTGAACGCCATGACGGCTCAGCACAGCTCCATGAACGCCCTAAACCCGTACTCCAGCATGAGCCCCACCATGAGCTCCATGACATACGCGCAGCCCAACCTGAACCGGGCCAGAGACAACAAGACTTTCAGGAGAAGTTACCCGCACGCCAAGCCGCCCTACTCCTACATCTCCCTCATCACAATGGCTATCCAGCAGGCACCCAGCAAAATGCTTACCTTAAGTGAGATTTACCAGTGGATAATGGACCTGTTCCCCTACTACCGTCAGAACCAGCAGAGGTGGCAGAACTCCATCAGGCACTCGTTGTCTTTCAACGACTGCTTCGTCAAAGTGTCCCGGTCGCCCGACAAGCCGGGAAAGGGCTCCTACTGGGCTCTGCACCCCGATTCTGGGAATATGTTTGAGAATGGCTGTTACCTGCGAAGACAGAAGCGCTTTAAATGCGAAAAAAAGTTGACGGACGGAAAGAGGTCAGACGGAAAGCGAGAGCAGTCGAGCGGCTCGGGCTCGCCGGCCAGCGACAGCACCAGCAGCAAACCTGGCCACATGGACTCGAGCTCCATAACCTCCTCGAACCAGTCGTCCAGTCCTCCCAGTTTGGACCACAGGAGCGCTAGCACCGCCGGCTCTGAACTGAAGAGCACCGGCCCACAGGTGCACCCAGTGTCCACGTCCCTGTCCTCGCTGCACTCAATGGCCCTCGAACCCCAGCTGCACCTCAAAGGAGACCCCCATTACTCCTTCAACCACCCGTTTTCCATCAATAATTTAATGTCCTCTCCAGAGCAACAGCATAAACTGGAATTGAAAGCGTATGAACAAGCGTTGCAATATTCCTCCTATGGCTCAGGCATGTCTTCCAGTTTGCCCATGGCCGGGAGAGCCAGCATGGACCCTTCGGCTTTAGAGGCCTCTTACTACCAAGGTGTGTATTCCAGGCCTGTTCTTAATACATCTTAGTCAGTTGGCGACGAAAAAAACAACAACTTTATTTTATTTTTTGCATGCACTTGGTGCAAAAGAACTGTTACTTTAAAATATAACAAAATGTGTATGTGTATAATAAAATATTGTAAAGTGTTCCCAATGATTGTTTATCCCAGTTATAAATCATTGCTAGTGTATTTAAATCATTTTGAGCTTGTAAAATACTTGTTGTGATCCCCAAACCTGTAGGTCCCCTTTGTGTTACAACGTGCACGAATGAAGGTCAACTTTGGTCTTGTTGCTGGTATAAAAGCGATGCCCCTGTCTGTTGCAGATGTATTTGAATGTTGTCATTTTACTTATTATTTTTGGGGTTTACTTGCCTCGTTTTGACAAAAAAATAAAAATACACTTCCCAATCTTGTATTGAAATAAATTAATCCAAGGTGGAAATGCATTGTGAATAAAATATGTATTTCTTACTCAAGCAAAACGTTTGTGACATTTTATACAAAGAGGTGAAATCATGAAGGCGCTTTTATGCATGTATTTTTCATGTAAATACATTCGCAATTGATAAAAAAAAAACTAGATGATAATTCAATAAGAATATCTGATTTTCTTTATTTCGATTCTTTTTTTTAATTTTTTTTAGAAATAATTATTCTATTTATTCTTTTGCATTTGCATTATTTTGTGTCCAAGCTATTAAAAGTAATGCATGCTCAATAATGATTTGAAATAAATAGATGCTACTTTCTTCAAAATATGCTCTGCTTTCAAAGCCAGCTTTTGGCTGAGCCCGTCTGGTTTTGACTCGCTGTTGGTAAAAGACCAAGAGAAAATCCAAGTCTAACACACGCGCAGCCTCAAAGACTCGCTTCATAAAAGATCCGATCTCGTTTTAAATGGGATTTTAAACAATATCATAGAGAGGCCAAATCATCTTTTTGTGCAGCGTAACCTACATGATGGGCACGTGAACCTGAACAGATTTGACTTTGATCATGGTATTTTGTATACACGCATTTTGGCTGAGTAGCCGTGAAATTCATTTAATTATCTTGTAATTCCCCCCCGATGCGTAAATAAAATGGATAATTGACTTCAGGCTTCAGAAATCTCGATATGTGCAGCCTATAAAATAAGGTTAAACAGCTGATATTTGTGCTTTTTCTTTTTCATTCGATTTAAAAATAAAGAAAACATCTTTTTTCCCTAAAGTAGGGTCCGGTGCAGTCGATTTATCTGATATTGAATTAGAGCTCGCGACAGAAATATTTAGTCTATGTGAAGATGGAAAAGTTAATAATAATTGCAATAATCGATACTGAAATTTGTAAATAATAATAATAATAATAATAATAATAACTTAAAATTTTAGAAAATAAAATAGTACTTTTTTGGGGTAACGATCCAATATTGTAAGGATTAAAATCACATGTTTAACTGCATGTTTAAATAATCTAAATTACATTCTCTCTTGCGCACGGTATGTGCATTATAAAAAAGATAGTTTTACATTTTATATATTTACCTGAGAATGTCTAAATATCTAACAGAAACGCCTGCTTACACATATCAAATAAATCATGTGAGGTTTACGGGATTGATTCAATAAAATACAAATTAAAATATGATACCATTAATTCTTATCATTTGTTAGCTCATTATACTCTTTAATGCACATAATTTAAACTAACTACATTTCAGAGTTCATACATTGTTGTATCGCTGCGTTAGGTGTGATTTGATTATGTATATTTGGTTTTCACATAATCAAATGCTTTATCGGAAACATTGTTTTATTTAAATCATTTATAAATCTTTGCGACAGAAACCGTGACTCGAAATGGCCTGCTCACGTCAACGAGAAGCTGATGATGATAATGAAAGCAAAGCATTATTAATATGCGCTTCTGAAAATCCATGAGCAAGCCAACAGTTTACAAGGGCAGTGCAGAAATATTTAACACATTTTAGGGAAAACTCTTTACGAGTGCATTGAAAGGAATAACAAACTGCTCGTTTATTTGCCATATAATCGTATCATTTAAAATACTGGCATGTATTATTTAGATATGCAGCCATTTGCATGGGAATTTTATTGTTTGTAATTGACGCAGTGATTGCACAGGGCAACATTCGACGGTTTTATTTCTATATAACGCTTTTCGACATTTATATGTTGCATTGCACAATTAGTGCACATCTTTAAACGAGCCAGGCTTAACATATGCGATCAGCAGGCAGCGTTCAAACTTATGTGGCATTTCTCGTTCCCCCATCAAAAGCTCTGGCGCTTTCTTCAGCCTTATGGAGCAAAATTTCGACAACAATACGCATGGTCCTTTAGTTCAAAGCGCCCATCAGCGGGTCTACCCGTAGACCTTTCTTCTCCCTCTTTTCATTCTGAGTTTGGAAAAGCACTACAGGGCCAAGGCGCTCCTAATACCTTCTGATGGGGATTGAATTAATTATCTCCAATAACACAATTGTGCTTGGCCAACGAAAAGAGCAAAGCAATACCCCTTCAGAATCACACACACACACACGAAAGAAAGGGCCTTTCAAAGGGCGAGAGAGAAGAGGGAGAGGTCTCTATCCGACATCAGCTTTAGAAGCAGCTGCTTTTCCATTAAAAATGATACGGGAGAAGTTTATTAGAGCTTTGTGGCCCTCTAATATGCATCGACCATGTCAGGTTGGTGGTCTCGCACTCCCCTCGCGGTGTTCCGTGTCTTCATTATTCTACAACAGGGGCTTTTGGATAGAAACGGCCAGTTGCTTTCGTTGGAGTTTCATTGCATGGTGCATTTCTTCTTAGTTTCATTTTTTACAATTTTATATAATATATTGTTCGACGAATATAAGAACAGTGCATTTGAAAGAATGCAATATTTCAAATGAATTACGCAAATAGTCTTCATTTGCACTAACGAAAAGAGCAAAGCAATACCCCTTCAGAATCACACACACACACACGAAAGAAAGGGCCTTTCAAAGGGCGAGAGAGAAGAGGGAGAGGTCTCTATCCGACATCAGCTTTAGAAGCAGCTGCTTTTCCATTAAAAATGATACGGGAGAAGTTTATTAGAGCTTTGTGGCCCTCTAATATGCATCGACCATGTCAGGTTGGTGGTCTCGCACTCCCCTCGCGGTGTTCCGTGTTTCGTGTCTTCATTATTCTACAACAGGGGCTTTTGGATAGAAACGGCCAGTTGCTTTCGTTGGAGTTTCATTGCATGGTGCATTTCTTCTTAGTTTCATTTTTTACAATTTTATATAATATATTGTTCGACGAATATAAGAACAGTGCATTTGAAAGAATGCAATATTTCAAATGAATTACGCAAATAGTCTTCATTTGCACTCTTAAAAATAAAAGTTCTTTATTGGTTCCATGAAGAACCTTTAACATTCTAAGGTTCTTTAGAGTTTTTAAAAAATATTTTTTCTCACTAATAAAAATGGTTCAAGAACAGTTCACTGAAAGGTTCTTTGGGAAACCAAAAATGGTTCTTCTATAGAAAAACAACACTTTGGAACCTTTAATTGAATTTTAAAGATTAGCAAATGAGCTTAAATAGGCTATTATGAAATTCTGGTATTCCTGGTCTAAATTAATATTTATATTTTAAATTTATAATAAAAGGTTTTATTCCATTTAGAATTGAAGGCTATCCGTGTCAACAATGCACAATTTTAACATTCCAAACGACACAAATTTATCAGCTTGATCAGAACCTGGGAAAAATAAAAACGTCCCACAGAAAATGTGCACTATATTTGTATAAATAAACAGCTACTATGAGAAGGACAGAAGCAGACAGAGAAAAAGAGAGAGCTTGAAATATTTGGTGTCGTTATAGCAACCGGATCAGTGGTGCTTTTCTCTAAGGGTCATTCAATATGTGCAGCCGAAACACGGTTTTAATTAAAGCGTATAAAAGTTTTTTTGTAAGTCGATGATCACGCACACTGAATTTGGGAATGGTAATGGGGCATTTCTCTCCACATGCCCCAATAAACACAGCCTCCACACCCACTCGGAACATCCACATCTCAAACAAATCACTTAAAACATGTACATCTCAAACAAATCAAACGCACATCTCAAAACAAAAGTTTTCGGCCCCCCCCAAAAAAGTTGCACCATCAAAGGGCAAGTGTTTTCCATAGGGATGTGGCGGGACACCCAGGTTGTGCCATCTCCACGGTAACCTATAGGAGGAAAATCGACAAGCTTGTCCTGGTGTCGGGCGTTTATTTGAGGGGAGGGACACTCAGCGGCACGTCTGGCCTAAACAGCCCTTTCTTTATTCAGCGGTGCATCTAACATATTTCTGAGTACATAATCGATCAGGCTGAAGAAGAGCTCTGCTGAAGGACAGACAGGGAAAGGCAACATTAAGCATGCTTATATAATTGTTTGGGGTATCTAGTCGTTGGTAAAGGTCGACAGATCTCTTTGGCCCATTTTATGTTTGTAAATTATCAGCATGCAAAGCAGTTCCCATTAAACACTCGCAACACATTAATAAGAATTCCCCCCTTTTTTTTCTCAGAACTGCCATTCCCACAATATACTGTATATCTGAATGTGCACTTCCAAAATTAGCTGACTTTTTTTTTTTTTTACTAAAAATGCTGGGATATGATTTTAAATCGTGTTTGCGATAAACAATACAAATTTTAAGAGCACATTAAAAAGTATTAAAAGTAAAGATTAATTGTAAATATTTTAACAATATTTCACTCAGCACAATATTTAGTGTATGTAACTTGAATTAAAAAGACCATTATTTATGGGTTTGATTGAATATAGTTGTGTTTAGAATATGATTATGTCGTTTTAAAATGAATTTGAATTAAAAACTAAATTTAGAAAAAAAATTAAGACTGATATTTCTCCTCAAAAAGACTTATTTCATATTTACTTAAATAAGAGGGTTTGTGCGAGTCATGTAAAACAAACAAATAATTAACAATTATACAACTATATTCTCTATTAGTGGACGGCATAATTAGATTTGATTTGATGATTTTTACAAAATATATATTTTAAGGATTCATCCTATAATTTCTATTGCCAATATATCTAAAAACACTAATCACAGAAACAATTTATTATTATATAACATTTAAGAGTAAATACCGAACAAGCATTCATGATCATAAATACTGATTGTGTTGACTGATACACTGTATATTGTTGTTATAACTCCCTTTATTAATTTGGAAAAAATGTCAAATATCTATAGTCCAGTTTGTCCATCCCCAAATCCCAGCTTTGTCCAAAAATAGCTGGCTTTCTATGAAAAATAAAGTCTCAGTACCTCACAAAGTAATCGTCCAATCAAATCTCCCTTGTTTAACCAGACTTAACGTCACACTGCAAGTAAAAATCGACCGAGAGGAGAGAAGGAATGAAAGAAAGAAAACCTTTGGAGTAGCAGATAAGAGTGTGGAGGTAAAGGGCTGGCAGCAGTAGTTTCATTGGTGACTGCAGAGAGAATGTGGTTAAACATTTACGATGGCGTTTCTGAGCCTGGGCTGGAATGAGAACAGGGCTGAGAGAAAGAATGCCACTTCCAGCCTGTGTTTGCCCAGGCCAGGCTTCGGCTGTTTGCTCAGAGTTAAACGCTGCAGCCTGGTCACCAGATGTGGCCGTCTGCTCAGGTCGCCCGACGGCCAGTCAGTCAGATGACTTTCCGGACACTGCCAGTGCCCACTTTCTTCCGTAACACCTCCACCAGCCGCTCCAACCTGAGAACGGAAAGGCAGAAATAAGTGATTGTGTAAATGAAAGAAGAGCAAGACAAACGCAGGCCAGCTCTTAGCGGTTTCCTTCTCACACAAGGGCGCTCTTGGAGGAACGGAAAGATGTGGAGAGTGGATGTAGACACTTCTTAAAGTGGGTGAGACATCCATGCTGGTGTCAATGCCCAAATCCTCCAAATATCCACCTGCCTTTACTCCGGCAAACAGAAGCCTGTGCGTGGTGTCATGTGATTGGTCGGGGTGAGTAAACCTGTGCTTATGAGGGCGATGATCCCACAGACTCTGTGGAAATGGAGGGAGATCTAGAAGGGTGAAGGGATTCTTCAGGAGCAAATGAATAATGGGGAACGAAAGCAGACCTGCTTCTCTCCATCCAAACAAATGCTGCTTCCGCTCCAAAAAATATACTCTTCAGAAACTTTGACATTACTTCAAATGATGTTATACTATGCAATAAATAAAAAATGTGATAATATGACAAAATAGATTAAATCAGGATTCTTAATTTATATAAATAAAACCGAAACTCACTTAAAGTGACATTACTTAAAAAATGAACATGAATTAAAGAAAAGGTTTCTGATTATTATTTGTTATAATATTCAAGCTACATGAAATCACTTTTTATATCAGATTGTAGTTTATATATTAATTTTGTGTGTGAATATTTCAAACAGATTTGAGATTTGCTTATACATTTTATTTAAATTCAATGCATTATGTTTGTTATGTCTATATATGAAAATGAATAAAAACTATATAGACATATATAAAAAAAAAGAAAAATTACCAAAAAAAGCACAACAAAACTACTAATACTCTCTCTCTCTATATATATATATATATACACACTGTATATATCTATATCCATATCTATGTGTGTGTGTGTATATATATATATATATATATATATATATATATACACACATCTATAAAACAAAAAAATACAAATGCATTTTATTTAATGTATAAATCTCAAATTTGTTCAGGTTGCAATCTCTCAATTAAAGATGACAGACAAAAAAATGAAAAGAAAATTGTATGCATAAATTACAGTAATTTATTTTAGACAATGCATAAATTAAATTACAAGATTTTTACACTTTATGAAGAAAACATACGGTACTTCTCAATTTTTAAGCCATAAGCACAATGCTAGGTTGGCACGATTGCTTATAAGATCCAAATCTCTATAATACTCATACTTTCAGTACTTAATGCAGTGATCTGAAAATCAGACTTGAAAGTTAAGTATTTAATAAATTCATTCATTACATTAAATAAAGGTGTGCTTAACAAATGTAGAAGGTTGTAGAGAGCTCAGGATTGTTAAATCCAAGCTTTTTCAAATAAAAAGAACCGATAACATTGAGTTCAAGCGGTCTTACAACAACAAAGCAAGCCCAGCTCTATCAGAGCCTTCATAGCAATCCTGACAAGACGTGCTTAGCATAGCCAGTGCTAGTATTGCCTACTGAGGTTTCTCAGTCTTATCAAGTGAGCATATGGGAGTGGTCTGACCCAAGCTTTGCTCCCGCCGAAATCTCCACCTGTTTTCCCGTACAGGGAGATTGAAGAGCAGCCGCAGGACCATATGCATTTCTCAGAGGCGCTCTGTGGCCGAGAGAAATGCGTCACGTTGGAGCGAAAGGGGGGAAGATGAGGGGGAGGGGATGGTTCAAAACAGCAGACTAATATTTATAAAAGGTCTCTGTTGCTAAATGAACAGGCCACGCACATGAGCATATATACATATACAAGCAAACAGCCTTCATATTACACACACAATCCACTTCCACCCAAAACACACAAACATGCAGACAGACACCACAAGACTGTCTCTCCTCCATAAACATGCACGGAAACACCTTTCCCCCTTGTGTGCACATTTTTAGCGTTTTAAATATATTCATTAGCCTCCCTGTCATGTTTGCACAATTAACAGGTCTGCCTTTCCGTGGCAGGATCTCCAAGGTGTGCCTGCGGGCTGGGGAGGATTTGGTGAACACTGTTTGCAGAGAGTGGCCGTAAACCCAAACATACACGCGTGGGAAGAGCCGGCAAAAGCGCAAATCCCGATTAAGAATTCACAGAGTCGCAAAACCAACAATTCCAGCTCAAATAACACAGAGTAAACAGCAGCCGTGCATAAATTCTAAACAACAGCACGTTTTATGTATGGCACGACAACATATCCATGTTTCAATGCAAAAGAAGATCCTGTTTGTAATCTATAATTATGCCATGACAATGCCTGACAAAAACGCTTGCATGAAATGCTATAAGATCATACTGATAACGCAGGCGACTGTAGTGGGGTTTTTAACGATGCACGAGATGCAGAACGGGACAAAAACAGGCCGCTGAGCAGGGACATTATTATTATTTTAGTACCAGTGTTATCATTTTTATTAATATTTTGAATTATTATTATTTTTTTAATATATTTATATTATATAACCATTAAATATATATATTTATATGTAGTTTTTATTAATATTCTCAATAAGTTTTACATTTTTATATTTTATTTTTTCATTTTAATTTAATTCAAAATATAAATAGAATCTCTACTGGTATCTAAAATAACACATCAGTGAATGTACAAAATAATAATCAGAAAGCAACAGAAAAGCAGTCCATGTGACTCGTATGCTATATTTCAAGTCTTCTGGTGTCATATGATGGCTTACATGGAACGGACCAAATTCAGGTTGTTATTCTCTGAAAACGTGGTCATGATCACTATGTACAAAAACAGAACTCTTCATCAAATAAATATATCCTATATAAACAGATTTGAAATGATGTGAGGGTGAGTAAATAATGACTGAATTTTGTCTTTAGGTGAAGTACTGCTTTAAATAGACAGCTCACCCAAAAATGAACATTTTGTCATCATTTACTCACCCTAATGTTGTTCCAAAGCTGTTTGGCTTTCTTTGTTCTGTGGAACACAAAATAAGATACTTTGAGAAATGTCTCAATGTTCTTTTCCCCCATGCAATGAAAATCAGCGAGGTGCAACATTCTTCAAAATATCTTCTTTTGTGTTCCACAGAACAAAGAAAGTCATGAGGGTGAATAAATGATGCTCATTTTTTTGGGTGAACTATTCCTTTAAGAAGTGATTTGGCACAAATTCAGGGCCTCGAGCAATTAATAACATGCTGATTCTCAGAATACAGGGAACTTGTTAGCTTCCAGTAATACTAGAGATTCTTCCAGCAGTCCTGCGCAGGGCTGAAATGAGCAGTTCGACTCTTTGCTGCAGACAGTAGTGACTCACACGACTGAACCTTGCACTGCGGTCGCCGCTTGGTCAGACCAGTGCACACAAACAAGCTGCTCTGATACTCACTTGCTGTCTAGGTGAGGACAGAAGCACTGGTCAAAGCAAAGTGCATTGTGGGATATGGAGTTTCATGTCATGCAGCAGAGGCTGTGATTGAAACCCTTCAGAGCGGCATGTGTAAACAGTGCACTAAAGTTCTGTCATTGTGATGGGGTAGTGGGGGGGTTCTCTCTGTGTTTTGAGCACCCCCCCAGCTCAGCATCTCCACCCCCTTTGGTTAATTCATCATGTAAATAGATCAGCAGGCCGGCCTGTGTTTGCTTTGCGTGGGGAGCCCCCCATGCGAGCGAGACAAGAGGGAGAGAGAGGGAATATCTACCAGATGACCAGTTTTTATAAATGTACAGAACAGATCAAGAGGGCAAGGTTAGAGAGACTGAGAGAACATGCTTTAAGAACATGCAACAAGTACAGGAATATCTCCAAACAGGAATAAACAGGCTTCTTTAATGGAACACAAAAGTGACAGAACAGATCAAGAGGGCAAGGTTAGAGAGACTGAGAGAACATGCTTTAAGAACATCCAACAAGTACAGGAATATCTCCAAACAGGAATAAACAGGCTTCTTTAATGGAACACAAAAGTGAAGAACGTTCATGCTCTTTTCAATGCAATAAAAGTGAATAAGGATCAACACTGTTGATCTCCAAAAATGACCAAAAAGCATCATATAAGGAGTATAAATGAGTCATGTGGATTTAGTTGTAAAGACTAATTTTGTAATTTTGCTTTCATGGTTCTTTTTTTCTCATTTTCAGCTTAACAGCATCTGTCCTCATTCATTGTCACAGAATGGAAAAGAGCAGCACGGACATCCTTTATAACATCTTTTTTTCTGTTTCACAGAAGAAAGTCAGTCATACAAGTATGGAACTTGAAACTAAAGAAGGGTAAAATGAGTAAATGGGCAAATGAGGACAAAACTGTCATTATCAAGTGAAAAAATATCCTAAGAACCCAAATCAAAATAAATAAGAAAAATAATTTTATATGTAAATACACACATAAAACTGGTCAAAAGTTTGGAATAATCATTAATTTTTTTATGTTTTTGAGAGAAGTCTCTTTTGTTTATTTGATTAATGATGCAGTAAAACAGTAAAATATTATTACAATTTTAAATAACTGTTTTCTATTTGAACATATTTTAAAATGTAATTTATTCCTGTAATGAAAAGCTGAATTTTCAGCATCATTACCCCAGTCTTCAGTGTTACATGATCCTTCAGAAATCATTCTAATATGCTGATTTGCTGCTCAAGAAACATTTCTTCATATTATCAATGCTGAAAACAGTTGCGTGCTTAATATTTTTGTGAAAACTGAAAATACCATATTAAATTACAGATATTAAATATTAAATTCTTTAATGAATAGAAAGAACAGCATTTAAATGTCTTTATGCTAAAACATTTGAATGGTAGTGTATCACTGTTTCCACAAAAATATTAAGCAGAACATTTTTGAAAACATTGGTAATGATAAATATATATTCAAAAACATCCAAATCATTCCAGAATTTTGACCGGTAGACTGATAGTTTAACATGGTTTTGGTATGTTGTTTAAACTTTCCCATGTTAAACCAGAAAGCGCATGTCTGTACTCACCTCTGCACTTTCTCATTGGCCTCCCTCTCTCTCTCCTGGGTCAGACACAGCTGGGTCTGAGCGCTCTGAAATTCTGAGGTCAGCTGCTGCAGACGGTGCAGCAGGGGCTGAATCTGGGTCTGGCTCTGGTTTGAGGTGGCAGGACTGTCCAGACTGGTCTCATCAGCCTGATGCTGTAGCACACTGAAAACACAGTTTTGATACATAAGTGTAATTAGTGATAGAGTCAGTCATGAATTGGCCATGTTCACTTGGCTGCTTGAAAGAAGTGTTACCACACCTTATGCCAGTAAAAAAAAATTAAAAAAAATAAAAAGTAAATAAAAAATAATTATATATATATATATATATATATATACACACATACATACATACATACATACATACATACATACATACATACATACATACACACCACACATCCCCAACTACTTGCATATTCATAAATTTTTCTATAATTGCATTTTTGAGACATTTATGGCTTACTTGATAATACCTTTAACTATCAAGAGTTTAACATATTTAAATTCATTAAGCAGAAATCTGCATATTTTGCCCTTTATTAAATGTAAAATAATGTAAAAAAACAGGGCACAGATTATGCATTGGCCAAGTTTTACATTTAAAACACAACAAACCTAATATAAATGCCATATGTGACCTCGGACCACAAAACCAGTCTTAAGTCGCTGGGGTATATTTGTAGCAATAGCCAAAAATACATTGTATGGGTCAAAATTATAGATTTTTTTTAAATGCCAAAAATCATTAGGATATTAAGTAAAGATCATGTTCCATGAAGATATTTTGTAAATTTAATTTCGTAAATATATCAAAACTTAATTTTTGATTAGTAATATTCATTGCTAAGAACTTCATTTGGACAACTTTGAAGGCGATTTTCTCAATATTTTGATTTTTTTGCACCCTCAGATTCCAGATATTCAAATAGTTGTATCTCGACTGATTTTTTTGCACCCTCAGATTCCAGATATTCAAATAGTTGTATCTCGACCAAATATTGTCCTATCCTAACAAACCCTACATCAATGGAAAGCTTATTTATTCAGCTTTCAGATGATGATTTTGAAAAATTGACACTTAAGACTGGTTTTGTGGTCCAGGGTCACATATAAGCTTACATTTTATTAACAAAACTTACACTCTAAAACTGCACTGTTAACTGCAATTGCTTTTAGTTTTAGCGCTACATCTACCTGATTTAACCCATAAAAAATAGTTTTGTTGGTAGAAATTAATGTATTTAGGTTGATTCAGCGATATTAACTAATTTTTAACTTGACCAGGTAATTTATATGTTTAGGTTACTATGTTTTCAGTGCATTCTAACGAATGCAGTAGGCAACATAGATTATATGATTGTTTATGAATGAAAAAAATATTAACTAAAATGAACTGAACTGAATTTGTAAGTGTGTTAATTTCCAAGTAATACCAATTTTAATGCATATAAAACCTACAAAACTACATATCTTTGTTATTCATCGCACACTTCAATAGATCCCCAGGAAAGACAATCATCAAAATTACAAGAACAATATAACGGCTGACTTGACGGTGTAGCATCAGGCTCATGTTTCATAAACCAGGAGGAGAAATGCCGATGGTCAGATTTCTTACACAAACATGAAACTTGACCCAGACACAGAGAGAGCATGCTTGCAGTTTACCTGGAGGTGGGGAATCATAACTCTATATCAACAGACACATCTAATATTCAAACGGAATGTCAGTACAAGAAACAATATCTGAGGCTAATAATTCCTCAGAATGTCAGCAGAATACATTAGCGCTCTCACGGCGCTGCATCCAACTCGAGGTGAAATTCAGACAGGTGTTTTTCAACAAGGCGTGAGATAACGAGGGTCAAGATAAAAACGGAAGGGTAGGGGCGACGTTGAGCGATACATATCAAACTAACCAACGAACACGAGCAGAACTGTACAACCACCGCCAAAAGCTCCTATGAAGTAATAGTAATAAATTGAAATACCGCTAACTGTCACAAAAAAACAAATCAACTTCTTGAGAAAACAGACGTTCCAAAGAATAAACATTTCTAATGAAAACATGATGCAGCTTTCCTGTGCAAATCAAAGCCACCAAAATGCTAAAGTGTTGCCAAGGCATTCCTGTATTTGACATGGCATTTACAGTTCAGGTGATTGCACGTATTAAATGCCCATGCCAATGTTCAAAGATGATTGTGTGCTTTCAGAGCTGCATGCAGCAGTCAAATAATTGCCATAAAAAATGCTAACAGATCACTTTCTCCACATTATTTTTAATGTGAGAGCAGGTGCAGCTGCTTGTAACTTGAAGTTGCGAGGCTTACGTTGTCATTCCCTTCCAGCTGATTGGCTGTTAACCTTTTTTTTGTACATCAGCTGGAAAAACTCATTTTGAAAGTGATTTCAATGATATTGTTCCTCTGTGCAATTAACATTCCTCTATGCAATTATCTGCTATTCTTTTAAATCAGAATTTCGAACGATTTTTCTTTATCGTTATAGTTTTCGTCCTAGTGTGAACGGCCTAAAGTTACACATTTTGAGATTTCATTCATGAGTGTCATTCGCTTCCAATTATTTTACCTGTACAAAAACAGTCCAATATAGTGCTTTATATTGCAAATTGGTATCTGTTATCATAATATTGGAATTTATTATCACAATCATAAACAGACCTATATTTACATAGCGGGTAATACATCGTAAGTCTCGCTCATTCAAAGAAATGGCTTTCTCTTTCTTGCAGAATAAGGTGGATAGACTTTCTTGGTTGCTATGTGGTTACATACTCTACGTCTAATAGATTTTATCCCGTTTTATTGTTTGTCAAATGAAAAGTAATTTTGTCTCCCCTTAACAAGCCCCATTATAATGTTAAATGCTTAAAGGAGCTTAAAAAGCTGCCAACAAACTGCAGAGGACTAATATGCTTTAATATGACACCAAGAGCACGGAGATGCCAATATCAAGTCTAAATAATGATAACACCTGCTCCCCTTTTTATTCAAGCAGAAACGAGATGAACGGCTGTAATAACACACACAGGTACGCTGTGCTCACCTGCGACCACAGACATACAGAAAACCACAGCACTATTAAGTGGGCATTCATATTAGCCAGGGAAACAATGCATTTAGTACAATGCCACGATTAGCTGACAATACAAAACGTCTGTCTGGCTCGCATGCCTGCATGCGTCTATAGTGACAGAGAACTTCAAGATTGATTGGCAGCAGCTTTTGTCTTTTGGCTTTAGCCAATGTGCCTGTGTGTTGTAGCCCTAAAGCCATATTACTCATTTAGTCTTGCTAATTAGTTCCATGTCAGGTTCTTCCTTTATGTTTTATTTTTTTAAGGCAGGAGGTAATCAATTCTGATGCGATATTGATGGTCGAGAAAGTGATGTAAAGTTGTGTGCTTTGTTTAATTAAATGCAAACATATTGGGTACAAAGGTCCAATGACAGTGACAAACAAGGGCAGAGAAGCATTGCCACACTATGGATTATCTTATCTAAGTCCACCCACCCCCTCACAGACACAACTGGTCCATCCTGGTTCCCACTTTATGAGAATGATTATACTAGGATATATGATGTTCCTGTCCAGCTCAGAGGAATGGAGATGCAAGTATGATGGAGCTCCATAAACAGGCACATAAACGCAACCTGTCTAGTACACAATTCACTACATAGAAGCTGTGACAGATGTGTGAAATTATATGTTATATGATTATACTACACTCTTAAAAATAAAGGTTCTAAAAGGGTTTGAAGCAATGGCATACAAGAAACATTTTTGGTTCCAGGAACCTTTCAAGTGAACCATTTTTATGTAATATTTTAATAATCTGAAGAACTTTTTCCCACTATAAAGAACCTTTTGTGCAATGGAAAGATCGGATGGATGTTAAAGGTTCTTCGTGGAATCACAGAAACATTTAAGAACCGTTATTTTTAAGAGTGTACATATAAGAATTAAAATTGACTGAAAATTGACTAACCTTCAGGCCATCCGAGAAGTAGATGAGTTTATCTCTTCAGAAAATATTTGGAGAAATGTAGCATTACATCACTTGCTCACCAATGGATCCTCTGCAGTGAATGGGTGCCGTCAGAATGAGAGTCCAAACAGAAGATAAAAACATCACAATAATCCACACAGCTCCAGTCCATCAATTAACGTCTTGTAAAGAAAACTGCATGTTTTTAAGAAACAAATCCATAATTAAGGCATTTTAACTTTAAAATGCATAAGAATGATTCTTGCAGTGAAAAAGTCCATCCCCTGTTGTCCTCTCACATCAAAATCCACTGACATGTTGGGTCAGAACTTTTTTGGACTCTTTTTGCTTGTAAAAGGTACTTGATCTGTGTACATTTCTCTCCTTATTCAGACAACTTTTTCACTGGAGAAAGCGATATTAGAGGACTCGTATTTTATCCAGAAGCAACAGTTTGAAGTTAAAAGACCTAATATTGCATTTATTTACTACAAACTTGTAGCGTTTCACTTCACAAAACATTAATTGATGGACTGCTGTTGTGTGGATTACTTGTGGATAATTGTGATGTTTTATCTTTTGTTTGGACTCTCATTCTGACGGCACCCATTCACTGCAGAGGATCCATCGGTGAGCAAGTGACGTAATGATAAATTTCTCCAAATCTGTTCTGATGAAGAAACTCTTCTAAATCTTGGATGGCCTGTGGGTAAGTACATTTTTACAACTATTCCTTAAAGTATGAGCAACAGAAAACAGTGACAGTGAAAACCCACTAATAAAAGAAATACCAATAACTCCTCTTGTACATTTAAAAATCCTATTCACTGCATTCAACCAAACATATGCTACTCGTTAAAAACAGCAGTGTATGTTGGTCTAGTTATAAAGGTTGCCAGACAGACGACCTGAGGACTCTGTTAAACATTAACCAGAACCGTAAGATACCTGATCACAGGGGTGGGATCCCAACAAACCTGCCCTCTAACTCTACAGGCCAGTTAAACATTAACACAGCCACAAAATGCTATCAGATGGGAAATGTAAAATAACATTTTAATAGAGAGCATTTATCTACAGCCAAAGCAGAGACAGACATTCTACTGACAGGTGTCTAGAGCAACCTGAGGTGGATATAAGCTAACTACC